GTTTTGGTTCAAGCCACCTGCGGGTTTGGTGCCTGAACCGAGACCGCTGCGGTGACAGCGATCGCTAGCCAGCGAGCCCGCCTGCGCCCTCGGCTCTTCACCAGCGGAGAGGTAAGCGAGACGGAAACATCTGGAGAGCTGGATGGTCTGAGAGCATGGGGCACTGGTCTCCATCAGCTGCTGCGCTGGCACTGCCAGAGCTGACCGCCGGGCACCGGGCAGCCCTCTAAGCCTCTTCAGCTGCCTGGGGAACCCAGAGGTGCGAGGTAAATCTCAGTGTTTTTGCAAACGGAGGTTTTCTTCGGGATCCTGTGGTACCAAAAGCACGGGCAGCCCGCAGAGCTCACTGGTCAAGGTGCCCACAATGGGAGCCCTCTTCCACAGGGACCTCCGGAGATGAAGGGAGGTGAAGAGGAGGCTCCGCGGTGACCTTCTAGCGGTCTTCCAGTACCTCAAGGGGGCCTACAAGAAAGATGGGGAGAGGCTGTTCAGGAGGGCCAGTTGTGATAGGACAAGGGGTAATGGTTTTAAAATAGAGGGAGGTAGATTCAGATTGGATATTAGGAAAAAATTTTTTACCATGAGAGTTGTAGAACACTGGAACAGGTTGCCCAGAGAGGTGGTGGATGCTCCATCCCTGGAGACGTTCAAGGCCAGGTTGGACGAGGCCCTGAGCAACCTGATCTAGTTGGAGATATCCCTGTTCCTTGCAGGGGGGTTGGACTAGATGACCTTTGAAGGTCCCTTCCAGCTCTAACCATTCTATGATTCTATGACCCCTCTCAGGACTAGGCGGCAGCAGCGTGATGAGACCTCGCAAGTTAAATAGGGAGGTCTCAGCTTTGCTGCCGTGGCTCTCATTAAAAACGAGCTTCCCTAAGTTTTGCATGTCTTCACGGTCCTAATCACCACACCAACCTAACGTCTTGGTCAGGAAAAAAGGTGAAAAGTGGGGCTCAAATATCACTTACAGCAGGTAAAAAGCATCGATGCTTATGAAAAAATGTACCTTCCGTTTCTGCAGCGAAGTTGGGTGGTTTTTTTGAGGTTTGGCGCACTGTTTGTTACTTCCTCTTGGTTTCAGATTTACTAAGCGAGCTTCTGCAGTTTGTGTTTCCAGCCCCACTGCTTGGCATCCTGGTGCCACGTTCTCTGCCCACGTCCCCAGGGCAAGCCCCAGAGCATGCCAGTGCTTAAACAGCAAGTCACTCTCTGAAACACTGACCCTGTGGCATGCTTGGCAAGATTTTTCTAGTTGTCTTTTTCCACCTCATTTCTCATCCCCATGCATAGCCCTGTGTCCCACCACGCTGTGCTCCTGCGTTTTTGCAGCGCTGGGAGGCAGTG